AGAGACCTTCCTTGGTTATCTATTTTAGTGCAGTTTTGGACTGACATTGTTTGCTAAATTCCTTTTTAAGTGAGCTGTTCGATTTCTAAGAAGTAACATGGAGCAGCTTAAAAAATCATCATATTGCCTACGTCTCAGCTTAAATTATTTCTGTGCACACTCTTTACTTCTCTTACGATTTGGGGTAGATTCTGAGACTTCATTTGTATTTGGAGTTTTTAAGATTTGCCTTATACTCCCTTAGAAATATTGAAAACGTTAAAGCATTTGGGCAAGGGTAATGGGTAAAATCCAATTTTATTTAAGACTCTCAGGATCCATCTTAATTATAGTCTTTGTTCCTAAGAGGGAGATGTGAAAGGCAGTGGTTTTACATCAGCCTGGTCTCCTCATTTTCTTAGGAATCCAAATCCCAAGATCAAAAAGAATGAGAAGTAACTCTTTAAACCCATCTTAGAGGGCACTACATCAGAAATACAGCAAATGGAAATTGCTCTTTAACTGGACAGAGTCGCATTTTAAGTGCCATTGTTTATATTCTTTATGTCCTGTTTCTTTTTATGTTGAATTTGTTTTACCCTGTAAATAATAAGAGCATGTATGTTCTAGTTTTTAAATGTGAGAATTGAATTGTTAATGGTTTTTGGATAAAAAAATGGTCTCCCATTTCTTCTACCAAAAGTAGTACATTTTCAAATATTAGACCTCACTAATACAGAGTGTCTTTTAAAGTTTTTCACTAAATCAGCTTTCAAAGCTTTATATTTTTTCCTTGATTTATGACATAGCTGTTTCTTGACTGGAGAAAATGCAAGGACTACATGCAATCTAATTAATTACATTTTCTGTTGATCTTCAGCAACAAGAAGGTGGGGGGACAAGCAGGAGCAGCCTGTTATCCCCGGGGCTGAGCGAGAGAGCAAGTGTCAGCGGCTTGGATACCCTCCCCTGAGATCCGGGGAAAAACGAAACCACACCAAGCCGGGAGACATGACAGCCTCAAGGGTGCAACAAAACTCGGCTTTATTCCATCAGAGGCTTAGTTATATAGGGGAAGATAAGGAAGTAACAGAAACCAATGGGAATTGATTATCTCATCTGTCACTAGGGTCTTTAGGCAGGTTTTGGGTTAGGTGGGGAGGCGGAGTTAGGGCCAAGAGCGCGTGTGCGGGAAGCTAGTTAGGCCACGAACGCGGAAGTAATGAGGGAGCATGGAAACCTCCAGTCTGCGGCCCTCACATGCCTAAAAGAGGCAAAAGGTCCCAACAATTTTCTGTGTGTCTCCCATTAGTGGAGGCCCCTAATCGAATCTTGATATACTTTTTACTTATGTTTCACATTTAATTAATCACATCTAGATGGCTATAGTTGGTGCATTGCCCCCACGATATTGTATCATAATAATCTGTTCATGTCTCTTTCTCCCATACTGTGTGATAAATTTATTACGGCTAGAGTTGTGTCATCCTACATCAACCTCTTTACCTCCAATCTCCTTATGATATTGGCTGTAGGCACCTTAAATTACTAAGATGTAATTATAAACAGTAGGACACCATCATTCCAACAATTGTGCTAATTTGTTCTGTTTCAACCTCACATTCTGTGCGGTAATTTCACTTGGCTTTTGGAGAATTTGATTCATGCCATTTTAAAGAAATGCAGTATTAGGTCACTAAATCCAGGATAAACAGAGGTGCCTTGCTTCATAGGTGGTATTCTTGACCTTGGCAGCTCTCCTCCTTTTCTTCCCCTCTGCTTTGTCTTTGCGTCTCTCGAGCTTCCTAAGGAAGCTCTTCTTCAAGGCTTCTTGAATATTAACATTTCACTGCTTTACCCAATATTGCCATTTGGAAGCTACTTTTTGATTATCTGGAATTTCAGAATACTTTTATTACAAAGTTATGTCTTAAACCAAATTCGCACAACTTTTTTTTTAATGGTTTAGTTTGTGATGGTTAATGGGACATACATTGTGGTAATTAGTCAAAATAAAGCATCTCTTTCATATGAAAGAAGGTGTTGCAGAATTTCTTGTAAAATTAGTTACATCTACAAGATTATTGAGTCTTCTTTGTGGACAAACTTTTAATTTGTTTAGTTGTTTTAGATAAGGGAGTTTTAGTGATAGAACCTTCTCTTATTTAGTAGCATCAAGTACTTTATTAAATAGTCATCAGTTTTCGTCTTATGATGAGGGACAATAAAGTGGTCCCAGAGAAAATTGGCTAAGTATGGACAAATTTCATAATAAGAAAAACATTTCATCTGCAAAGAAGATGTATAGTTGTTGCCTTTCTTCCTCTGTGTTTAGATGGTTTGAAATGATTGTATTCTGGGATTTTACTTTGAAAGCTGGAGGCTATTTAAAAATAAAAATGAGTATCTCAGGGTTCAGAGCAGTGTGTGAAGTTAAAGCACATAATGTATAGCAAGGATATAGTGAACAAAAAAAACTACTGCGTAATCATATAAAAGACAAAACCTACTTACTGTGATAATAAACTTAAATGACATCAGATAGTAGGATTAGCTGGGGATTTTCATATCTTCCTGTGGATTGCAGCTTTTAATCTCTTTAAGTAATAGATTTCCAAAATCATCATTTACATATTTGTGGTGTGTGTATATACTTAAAAGTAGATGTAAAATTATATATTCTGATGTATGTGCAAAATAAGGTAACATGAAACTATTGCATTCACATTTTTAAACAACTTGAATTTGAGTTTCTTTAATAGGCACAATATCCTTTCATTGCCTTAGTTTATGCAAAAAGTCACATGAATATGTGGTGATCCACCTGAAGGAACAAGGAAATTGAACTATGCACACATTTTTAAGTAAACAGTGATTGATTATGTAGGTACTAGTGATTACTAGACTTTCTAGACTATAAACTATAAAAATAAAATCCTACTATTTCTGTTTTAAAGTTAAGTGCCTATGTTGCCAGTGGATCAAAATTACCCGAGAAGGGTAATTATTGGCATTTTGCTTCAGACTTTAGATCTAACAAATAAAAATGAAAAACATTTGGATATGATTAAAGAACAAAGAAACAAGGAGATGGAGAGCAACCAATTCAGCAAATAAGGAACAGTTCCTTTACCCTAATTATAGCCATCTTGATTTTTCTTTTTTCTTCTGTATGTATCAGTTGGAATTTTGGTGGAAAATTAATCATTTGCCTAATTATAAAAATTAATTCATTGCAGATTTTCAAAAGTGACTTTATGCTTTTCCTTAAACTCAGATTTCAAAAGTCAGTTGCAGTTTGTATTGGCCACAGTTTTTTCCTTTGATATTTCCTAAGACTTCTCATTTCCTAAGACTTAATTTCTTATATCTACCATCATCTAAATGAGGCTGTGTTGACATAAACAAGATCAAAAGATTCGACACATTTAAAAAGTTTTACATTTGAATTAGGCTGAGTTGTGTGGAAGTGTGGCTGAATCTAAGAAATTGATGGAAGATTAGATATAAACCGTAATGATTTTTCAGATTGTTTATGGTTGCCGGTCAAGCACTGAAGTAAGGCCCAAGTTCTGACCCCTCTTTTTCTATAAATCATCTTATAAATAATAAAGGCTATGGATATTGGGACATTTTGGGTGTTCCAGCTGGGATGAATTTGTTGAGATACAGATTGCTTTATTGCTTTCTTTTCATTACTACTTTCCCCATTTCTTATGACCAGAACCTTCATTTATTCTGTATTATCTTAGAGGTTACATGTTTCTTTTGAAAGACTGGCACCCATTGACTTTATATAATGTGACAGGTGCACATTGTATAATATAATCTCTTTGGTACCCTAACATGTTTTTTTGCATGTTATTTGAGAGCTAATAAACATAGGTTTGTGATTAAATTGAAGCAAAAAACCACAACCACAAAAACCTGTCGAAACATTGTATGGTTTTACATGCGTTTCAGATTTGATGGCTTTCTCTGATAATTTTCCTCTATGTTTACTTTTAGTTCTAAAGCAGTTGTCTCCTCCCTACGCAACACCCTGACCCCTCAACACACATAGAAGCAGCTTAAGTGTCAAAATGGAAAGATACTGTATATGTACTTATTGAGTTCTGGTGATTTTGAATAAATAGGCATATAAAGGAAGCAAGGTCAGTTCAAACCTGAATAGCTCTTTAGTATTTTGTGTTCCAATTGCTATTTTGCCATCAGTTCTGAGCTGAAAACATAATTAATATTGTAAATTTATGAAATGGTAGGAGGGAATGCAAATGATACTATTATTTTGAAGTGTGAGTCATATTTTGAGTCATGTCAGAATCCCCAGAACTTAACGTAGAAATTTGAATTGAGATGACACCTGCATTTCCCTCCCTTCCAAACCATTTTTTCATACTACTATAACTTTATCTGTCTAAAACAGAGATTTGATCATGTCTTTAGTCCTTTAAATCCATTTGGCTCCCCATTCCTTATAGCAAAAGCTCTTACCAAGGGTCATAGATTAAAATTGCTTCAGGAACTTCTAAAATATGCATTTTTCTAGAACCCATCATCAGAAACTCTGATTTTTTGGCAGAAATGGAAAATGTATTAGGCAAAAATTTTGTTCATTGTTTATTTTATGTCGTATCCCATCAGACTCTCTTATCCTATGATTTTCTTAAGTCACCTGCTCTTCCCTAGCCATGCTAAACCTAGATTTTATACAAAAAGTTCTACTCCATACCTCTATCCTTTATACAATCTGCTCCTACTATCCAAAACACATTCTCTTTATTTTCCTTTCTTGCCCTTGTCTCCACTCCACATCTTTCATCTGTCAAACAACTACTTAATCTTCCTACATTCTCTCCTCTAATAACAAATCTTTCCTTACTCCCCGCTGTGGAAACAGTTACTCTATCTTCCATGTTTATTTTTTGTAATATATATATACCTATTAAAATTTACCTTCATATATGTTTAAATATTTACTTATTTACTTGCTTTCCTTTTTTCCCCCCCTCTGTCTACAGACGAAATCTCACGAAACTGTCCCTTATCTTCAGTCATATGCTGGCAGAAATCAAAGCAATCTTTCCCAATGGGCAATTCCAGGGAGATAACTTTCGTATTACCAAAGCAGATGCTGCTGAATTCTGGAGGAAATTTTTTGGAGACAAGTAAGTACCAGTCATTATAGTTTGGATCCGTCTTTGAAGAATGAGCTAGTCCTGCTTCCAGTTCCATATGGTATAGATCTTCCTTGCATATTTTGAGAATGTACTTGAATTTTCTTGGAAAATGTTTTGATTGCTAACTTTTGGCTAATTTTCTATTTAGCCACCAAAACTATACACCACCAAGAGAATTGTTTGATTTTATTGCAAGGGGACTATCAGCTTTACAAAATCTATTTGTTTGAGCATTCATTGAATTAGTCTGCTACAATGAGCAAAGGTATATAAGATAGACTCTCTATACATGAGCAGTTCATAACTTTATAACTGAGTATACACATAAGACACTATACAAAAATTAAAGGCAGAAAGGGATAGATACTTAAGAAATGGCATAAATAAGTTGCTCTGTCAAGTCAGAGAGGGGAGTAGTTGCTTCAGGACTGCAGACTGCTTAGAGGAGGTAGCATGTTAGCTTGGTTAAAATCTGAAATTGAGGGTAGAAGGAGGCCTTAGCATCCCAATTCAGGCTTTCTTTATACCAATGCACAGAGAGTATACGTGTGTAAATAAGATGCAGAAGTGAGGATAATGTTCTCACAAGTTGCATTATATCACAAAATAGCTAGATAAAAATATCCTTTGCCCAAGCACAAATTCAGGTGAGCACCCTCAGAATGTTCTTGAATGCAGGCAGAACCTTGGCTGAGTATTAAAAAGGAAAAATGATTGCTTACACATAGATTTTTGCTTTCATTCTCTACTTAATAGTCTTTATTTACACATTAACTGGTGAAATGAGATGTAAAAAATATTGGTGTATACTTCTGATGGTATTATTCCTCTGTTGCTGGTGCATTAACTGTAACATTGAGTTTCCTTTTTTTTTTCTTTATGAAGTGCTATGTTTACAGTTTACACCATGATTAGAATATACTTACACAGAGCAGTGCACATTTTATTAGATACATAATTTTTGGCTTTGAATATATTAAAGCCTTTTTTCCACTTCTTAAATAAAATGTGTTCTGAGTTATGTTTAGTCCCTATAGGAGGAAATACCATTACTGTCATTAACATGGACATTCTGTGTTCCACAGATCTAGCTTTTGTAATGTTCCTATATTCTTCAAAAATGAGGAGTTTAAAAAGAAAAGGTTCATCCCCATCCAAATTAAAACATTCAAAGGTATTCTAGTTAAATATTTATAAATAGTAGAGAGCAGAGAGGTATTACCAACTTCTGGGAGTAAGAACTGCAGGATTTCTTGAAGTTACAGCTCATTTATTAACACCATGAGCCTAATGCAAACAGTTAGTAATTTTCAAGATAAATTTTATCTTAAAATTAAAAAGGACTGTGTAGGACAAATTATGGTGTTTCTTTTTGAAAACTGAAAATTATGGTGAGTTATAAAATTCTCTGCTTGTCGAAAGGTCAGTAACAAATGTAGAGATTACTTACATGTTTTTTAAGAGAGGAGTTTGTTTTGCTGCCACCTCAAGCCACAAGGAATTATGCATTTGAGGCATCTTTATTTCCCTTTATTTATAACCATAGACATCGAGGGGCTGAAATTCCTGTCCAACTGCTATATGAGTGAAATCACTACTAAATCAAATGTGGGATTCTTGACATACTGGTTAAATACTCTCCCTACCTCCTAAATCTTTGTACCTTGGTCTTCTGTCTTCACTTGAGAAAACTGTTTAATTTTTCTATAAAATTTTTACTTTTGGGATGAGAGCCAAATTTAAAGATCCTCTTGGAACTCAGACATATTTCTGTAGTCATCAAAATTAATGATTCTTTATTAGATCATTGGAGAAACCATTTTTATATTCTCTGTGGGTTTCGGCTTACAGTTCCATAATATTTTATTGAATGAATGAGTAAATGAATGAATGACATAGCATTTCAAAAGATTGAATTATTTCATCTTCCTTATGTTCTAATACTGGTTTATATTTTCACATAACTTAGTTCTTACACAGAAGCAATCCTGTCATTTATCTTGCTACACATTGAGGCCATGTGAGAATGCTTTCATTTGGCCGAACTGTGCCTTTAAACTTGAAGGCTGTATTGTTCCCAAAAACAACCATTGAGAGGTTAGTTCTAAAAACAGTGAAGCAGATTATGATTTTTATAAAGTAGCTTTTAGCTTAAGTGTAATTGTCACTTTTTTCCCAAAAGAAATTGTCAGCAAGAACAAACATTAGTATTGGATTAGAATTGAGGGAAAGCTACTGTTCTGATGACCAATTTTAGGTTTCAGACATCATGAAAAGAAGCAGCAGACAAAAATCTTTAGGTGTCATAGGCTTCATTTCTGTGCTTCTCAACCTTTTGGAAGCCATGGCAGGGCCCACCTCTCTACTCAGGACCCCAGCCCAACTACCAAGAGGCTCTGCCTGTCTGGAGTCCCGAGAGGATCAGTAACACATTATATGTCATGATAAACTGGGTGGTAAGTTCTGCATCTGCTATATTTTTATGAAAATTCATTGAATGTTTAAATAGTTGAGTCCTATTTTTCTTTCTTAGTTTGTGGACCAAGAAAGAGTAGAAATAAGTAGTAAAGGAGAAGTGACATAATTGAATAAATATGTCTAAATAGATCTGCAAATTGAGACCAATACCAAACTGAATGTTTGCCCTCTGGATTAGTAGTTTATAATCCAGAAGCTTTCATCAGGAGGCTCAAGAAGTGTATTACTTAGCTGTTTAAAAAGAAAATATCCAGTAATGTGACTAGACTTTAGGTGACATTTTTCTAAGCAAGTCAGGTAGCAGTTCCTGGGCTCACTCCTGCTCAGTGCTTCTTGGCATTCAGGAGATTTAGACATGCATTTCCAACCAAATTGTTATTCAGAAAGAACCATGATTCTAACTCATGAATCTTTTTATACATCTCCTCCCCATCCTTACTTTAAGTTCTGTTGTTCAATTTCAAGTTCAAATTCAAGTTCTTCCCTGGATTTCTGCAACAGTTTTCTGAGAGGTCTCCCTATCTTCAGTAGCAACCTATTCAGTTGTTTCTCTTAATGAGACCAGTGAGCTCTCTAAAAAGCTGGACTAATCATTCTAATTTTTGCTTGAAATACTTCTATAAGTCATTATTGATTCTAGGTTGAAGTCTAAAATCTCATTTACCTGACAAGGTTTAGGAATAGTTTTTTCTAGCCTCATCTCTTTGAACTCAGCTCATCATCAAAGAAACAAAGTATACTTACTTCCTAAGATGCTTCTTTTCTTCACACAGCAGTGTCTGTGTTTCCCTAGTTTGCAGCCACTGCTTGGGAAGCCTGTCACCCATGCCCCACCCAGTGCTGCCCCTTCGGCAGTTTCCCTTGACCAACCTGGTCTGAGGTGCACAGCCCTGCTCTTTGCTGCCAGTCATTGTGCTTGCATCTGTCATACTAGACTGCAAAGAATGCTGCTGTGTTTGCATTTCCCAATAGCCTGGGAAGTTTTCTTGAGGTCAGGAACCATGTCATACTGATTTTTATCTCTCATAGCCTGGCACATTTCCTGGAAAATGTAGGTACTAATAAATGTTAACATATTGTATGAACAGTTGGATGGATAGGTGGATGAATGGATGATGTTTATTCTCTGCTTTATTATCTAAAAATTGGTTTTATTTATTTATTTTTTTAGTCATCAGTTCCCAGAGTTCTACCTGGAATGCTTTTCTTGCCTCTTCTTTCTTTTCTGCCATCCCAAAATTTGTCAAGTCTTGTTCAGAAATTCCCTTCTGGGTTGTTCTGACTAATATACACCCTCCCACATGCTAGCTTTGTGACTTTGGGCAGCCTACTTGCTTGCTCCGTGCATCAGGTTCTTCTTCATCTATAAAATGTGGATAATAATGACAATGATACCTGCCATCTAGGGTTGTCATGAAGGTTAAAAGAGTTCAAATCTACCAATAAGGCCCATAACTGTCTGGCACATAGTATATGTTGTGGAATAATTAACCACTTTAAACTTTTAATCTTGCCCAACTTGACATGAATATATTATTCATTCTATAAATAATATAATTAATATTTAATTTTGTATGATGGAGTTTCCATACTACATAGAAATGCAGAAGCCAAAAAATAAAAATGAAAAGTTTTCTAAAATTGTGTGTATCCCTGTATAAAAGTAGGGTAAAATGTAAGAAACTGTCCCACTTACCATGGAAAAAAATGATCTATTTAAAGCTCACTTTAGTAACTCTGCCTTTGATTTCCTGGGGAAGTGGTATGGACCTTCTTTGGTTTCCTGTATTTTCCTTTCACTTTTAATAAGAAACAGAGGACAATCAATGGTTTTGTTACCTTTCCCGTGAGTGAGATATGTGTTTTTCTAGCATACAAAATAAACCAGTTTTCTCTCTAAAGAAAAGGTAACTTAGTCATATTTCATTAAAAGAGGGGGAGCGCAATAGGAATTAAGGACTTTTACAGGGAAACTGCAGTTGTAGAAAGAAGAGTGAAATAGAACTCAAGGAATGCTATTTAATATTCTATTCTATTATTTAGTCAATCCCTATTATTGCCTGCTTTAAAAATTGTGTCTTTAAAAATAAGGCAAATAAAATTACAGGTCTTTTTCAACTCAGGGTAACAAGATTCTAGATACAAAAAACAAATAAGATGCCAAATGACCATTTTCTGTCTTTAAGCAATATGTATCCCACTAGAAAAGCACCTAAGGAATGTCACAAATAATAAGTTAATTATTTCCTACAATAGTCAGAGGAAGGCTCAGGCTCAGTGGAGGAGCTAGAGTTTTGTATAAGTTACTCATATGTTAATAAAGAGTCTAGCAGTCTATTAGTGGAGAATGTTGTAATTGTAACTGAATTTTTATGGAGTCTGCTGTAGTTTCAAAGAAAGGTACAGGGTAACTTCAAGGTTACAGAAATGCCATTCATTTTTCACCTTTTCATTGTTTTTTCTTTTCTCTTTTCTCTTCACTTTGAACCCCTCAGTACATGACATTTACC